TTGTGCTTGAAAAAGTGGCCAGAAATGTATGCATTCTTTGTTTGGAGTGACGTTTTTTCAATGCAAGTTTACAGTGAAAAAGGCTAACTCTAGTTTTGGATGATAAATATGCTCTAAAGCAACCACATTTTTTGTAATCATATCACTGTACGCGTACCAAGATTTCTGGAGTAGAGTGTGTCTCTGAAGTTCATACTGAGCATTTCTCTCTTACTGTGCTAGTGTTATCAGTGCAGAAATATTCACCATTATGTTCATGTGCTATACACTCCCATGACCATTTTATCTCTATCAGTGTAATGAGAGGTGCATAAAGGCTTACCTACACATGGGGAAAGCATATCTGGCACTGAAGAAATATAATGAGGTCAGTATAATATCTCTCATTATGTCTATTTACACCCTTTTCTTTTTTTTTTTTTTTTTACACATTGCTGTTGTATACAGAAAGCACTACACTTAGCATTTAATCTAACTACAGCTGAAATATGGCTATATAATTAGGATTGAATGCCTGGAATAGAGAGCACATTTAATATGATTCTGAAGTAAGTTTGAGCACATAGCATATAGGCAGTCCTAGTCTCACAGCAATCGTATGTAAAATCTGTTTATTTCAGTCCATTCTTTGTAAAATAGGTTGAAATGTAACATTGATGTCTGCTAAAAATCTTTTCTATATACTACACTCTTGTGCTCAGATACTGTAGTCTTTTGCAGAAGCTGGAATCATTGATTTCCATGGCTCCGAAAAGAGACCCATAAAGCACATCATAAGCAGTGATGAACCAAATCGCTTTCTCTTTCTATCTTTCAGTCCAGAAAATGCTTTGAAAAGATAGTGGAAATTGAACCTGGGAGAGAGAAGATGATGAAAGGTAGTCACATTATTGTTTTTCAGAGATTAGGTTTGGAAAACTTTAATGTATTTAAGTCCTTTTGTGATAATTACCCTTATTGGTAATGTATCAGGACCACGTACCAAGATTTGGGACACATTCATGTTATTTTCTGATGTGAGATATAAGATTATTATTTCATTAATAATGTATACATTGTTGAGAATGGTCTTGCCAAAAATCTTCTTCACCCTTTTAATCTCCTTTGTTTTCTCCATGCAGGATACCTGACCCAGGTAGATTTGGAAGAGGAGAAAGAAAGTCAGGAAGTGAATGCGATGCAAGAGTTTGACAAGGGAGATGGGAAGGCCACAACAGTGCCCCAGCTGCTGGAGAAGCTGTCAAGACCCAGCCAGATGTCCTTCTATTACTGTGGAGGATTTGAGATTCTGTCACAAGCAGTTACTGACTGTAAGTGTTATTTTGGGACAAGCTTTGCACAATTATCTTTCTCCTCTAATCTCTTTGTGTCCACTCTTGCCTCAATAACGTGCTTCACTGGTCCACTTATTTCCTGGTTCTATGGTTAAAATCACCTTCAGGCCAGGAAGGTTAGGAAGACTTGGAGGAGAAAAAGAGAGTTTATACAGTACTTAGCCAGGTGAATGTTTGTTTTTTGTCTTGCTCTGGAAGAGAGGGAAGACCTCAAACTGTCTATCACTGATATCTCTTCATGCTCCATTTGCTTGTCACAGTGAGCAAATTTCCAATATAGACTATAATGCCACACTGGAGGAGTCAAACCTCAGTGCTGCCACTGAGCAGAGGATAGCTATATATACCATAACACTGTGTAACACTATAAGATGACACTTGAACTGCTGCATAAAAAATAACATGCAGAACCGTTTTCTTCACATTGTTTACTCTTCTGCAATGCTGGGTGATCCAATGCTAGTATGATTTGATTTGTGAACTATTTATGATCATCTCAATTAAAAGAATTAGATGTTCCCTTGGTATATAAATGATGGAGTAATTTGCTTGCTGAACTGCTGAGTGTGCTGTTCCCAGCCAGCAGTATCAGCTCTTCCATGAGTTAAGAAATGTTGAAATGAACAATGAATTTTAAAAATAAAATGAGGACTATTAAGATATTGTAATAGAATTTATTATAGGTACAGGGTTGTACGTAGGCAATGCTAATTGTATTTGGTGTACAGCAGATATATGGGTTGTTATGGGATGACAGCAAAAACACTATTAAGCCTTCTGAAACTGTCTTAGGTACAATTGTGATAGCAGGTGTCTATTCCATAACCTCAGTGGCATAACTGCACTCAACCCTGTCAGATTTAGAGTAGGTAGCTAGTGAATAGTGGTGGTTGTCTGATAGCTTTATAGATGTATGACCCTAGTCTGAGGTCCTCTCAATGGACAGGGGCTCTGGAATATGCCAGAGATTATCATTGCTTATATATATTTCAGAACAAGAGTGAGTTGTTGTCAGGAGACCGAGAAATTCTAGCAACGTTCCCTGATCAAGAAAAAAGAGCTCATAAAACTTAAACAAGAGCATTTAATCACACAACTGCTCATAAATGTACCAGTAAAGAGAAGGGACAACAAATCCTATACTGCAACATGATGGGACAAATCAAGACCTTTTTCATTTTGACATGTAATAGTAGGGTAACCATAGGTGTGCATGCACAATAGCAGCACTCTGACTGGCTACTGTGGTCTATTGTTTTAGCTTAGTTCTAGCTAGAGGTGTCAATCTTCAAAGATCTGTCAACGATTCGATGCACCTCGATGCATCTCAATATACCACAGCCTCAGTTTTCTACATTACTACATGGATATTTTTTTCAGTTAATACAAGCCGATAAATCTGGACTAAACCGAACCCCCTTTTTTATTTAGAAAGTGCTTTTAAAGGTGCAAGAAAGCAACATTGCAACATAATACCTTAACAACCAGCTCAAGCAGGAAAATCAGCATTAGGCTATGATTTTTTTGTAGGCTTCAAAGTCCCAATTATATTGTGTCACTAGACTGATGCAAAATCTTCCTTATCTGCATCGCAGTGCATCTTAGAATTGAGAAATTTCCACACTCTAGTTCTAGCACAGTTCTTGTTGCTTCAGATGGGTTATAGAATAATCGAGCCAAACAGGCTACATAGGAACATGCCCTCATGACCTTTTATTTTTTTCTCTCTATGAAAAACAGAAAGAAACTTGTGCTGGGACAAAATGTTTCACTGCATGCATCAGTTTGAAAAAGTAACTGATATTTGTTTACCAAGTCCTCTACTGTATGAAAAGGGGCCATTGTGGACAAGCAGCAGCTGCTGCTCTCCATCAGGTTGTTCACCCCTCTTCTGTCAACTGCTGATATTTTTGTAAATGTTTTTGACCCAAGAAATGACTTTGGAACTCCACACCTCTAATATAACTGTTTTTAGCTATTGCCAAAAGGCAGACATTGCTACTACTGTAAACCAGCACTAGTGGTACAATTCATCAAGGTCAATGGCCCTCTCAGGAGTATTTATTTAGTTTTATTTCAGATTAGAAATAAGTGGTTATTGTGTAGTTCTGACATGATGCACCCCATTGCTGTTCTCATGCATGCCTTATATAACTTCAGGTATTTTGACCACACAGCCAAGGCTGATGGAATTGGATGGAGTGAAGCTTGAAGCTTGTCGTTCAGCAAACACAACCTTTAACCTGTATTCACTATTTGTTGTACACCATATTATTTTGCACTGGCTACCCACTGCAGAATAGCAAACATTTCTTATCCAATCTCTCTTTTTTCTTCATTTAGATGAATAAAAGTGTACTGTCAAATGATATAATGCCTGTCTCACAGTGCCATTCAACAGAAAAGGGCAAAACTTACATAACTCACAACTGAAAGGATCTCAGCAGGGCTGACTTTCTCCCCTAACAGTACCCTCTCACTGCTCTGATCTACTTTCTGTATAAAATAGACCATTCGTCACTGTGCATTACGCTCTCAACATATTTTATTTATCCTTTACTCTCGTGCCCTTGACTGTAAACCAGTGAACAATACGAGCTAAACTGAAAGAGAGAGGTGTTGTGTTTCTCTAAAACCTCCAGGCTACTCGGTGATGATATGTAGTTTTCTGTCTTCTTACACTATCTACTGTTCTCTTCTAACAGGTACAGGCCAGACCCTTTTCAGGCTGAACAATGGCTTTAGTATCGTCAGCAGCAATGACATGGTGAGGAGGTAAGGAGACCAGAGGGAGAGGTAGCTGTCAGCCCTCAGTGGTGCATTGACAGATGGACCCAGAGACAGGGGCATACAGAGACAATGATGGCCTAAACTAGAGAGATCATTCTCCGCCCTCGCCCCCTCTCTCTCACTCTCTTTCCCTCTCTGGTTGTTTGTGTGAAAGCCCAAAAAGGAAAAGATGATCACACTGAAGATTGAGATGAGCACTGAAATGAGCAAAGGCCCTGTGTTTTGTCCCAGAGAGAGGGGGTGTTTTGTACAAGATACAAATTATGAGTCCTGCATGTCAGATCAGTAAGGTTATTATTAACTTGTCACTTACTTCCTATGTTGTCCATTGTTAGCACTGCCATTATTCAAGTTAGAACACAGTGTCTGGAAAGTAGAGAGTGCAAATAAATGGCACTCTGAGCTTGGTGAAAATAGCCAATAAGGATACTGCTGTGAGCCAGATACCAACAACTAAAACCTATGTGAGCCATGGAGCAAAGAAGGCCAGTACATTGTTGGATATCCTGATCACAATCTGAGTTCATGTGCTCTTGGCACTGCTACAAAAAGCCTAAATGATGTTTTTAAGATATAAAGTGAAAAAAGGTATGAACAAAAAGGTGCTACTTTGTATTGAGTTTACAGGTTTTCCAAAATGGAGCAAAAAAACAAACAAACAAACAAAAAAAAACACTTTTTGGTTAAGAAAAAAATTGTGTGTTGAGATGGCTAATATATATATATATATATATATGTATTCAATTCAGAAATAAGGATAAGAATTTAGGCTATAACCTTCAGCCAGCAAGTACAAGCTTCTGCAGGGCAGACACAGCAGTGATACATATTAGTGGCAATCACCTTAGTAGGATGACAGATGACTTCTCAAGTAACGTGACTGATGGCTAAGTGACTTTGTTACACACGGTACCTACATCAAATGTAGATAAATGGAAGGGCAAACTGCATTACGATGTTTAAGTATAGTATCAGTACCAGTACATACTGTATGGACACAAAACATTTTTATGCTAATTGCACTTTATTTTATTTATACATCTGTATTAAAATAAAGTTCTTCATTCAATGTCTTTAGGTACCCAAAAATCAGGGACTTGCTGCTGCTGCAGCAGGATTCCTTAATATCTTTTTCAGTCAGAGACTTCAGTAGAGTAAACAGTTATTTATTGACTTACCCATTGTGATGTCATCATATGTTAAGGGGGTGGTGAAGCCTTGAGTAATGTAGTGGTGGTGTTGGTGATGGATGACGATGCTTCTGGTGAGCTCATACCTGGGCGCTAGAAATGATAAAACTGGAGGTGAATGGGGCGGAGGAATGTTGTGACGATTTGCACTGAAATGATAGCTGACAGAAACAGATAGGAGAACATATTTTATGTACCAATGTGTAGGATTTAGTGCCATCTAGTGATGTTTCAGATTGCAACCAACTGAATATGGCTCGTCTTCCAAGCGTGTAGGAGGAACTACCAAGTAACTATCTAGTAATAGCATTTGGTTTGTCTGGGTTCTGGGCTACTGTAGAAACAGGGTGTTTTCATCATGGCATCTCCCTCTGTAGATGAAAACGGCAAATTTTAAGGTAGCGAGAACACTAGGATTCTTATTTTCAGGTGATTATACACTAATGAAAACATTTGCATGAATACTGCCAATCAATCCTCCTAAATGTTAAACACTGGATCTTTTAAATTTGATGGCAAAGATGTGATTGGCTGGTTGGTTAACTAAATGAGCCCCTAATCAGCTGAGGAAGCAGGAAAGAGAGAGAGAGAGAGAGAGAGAGCGAAAGATAGGATCTTTCTCCTGTGAATTGTGTTGAATTGCTACCTCTGTCTGGTATTATTAAGTAATATTTGAAATTTGAAAGTAAATATTGGACACTTCATGTGTTCTTTTTTGTTTTTGTAGTTTTAATTTTGTTTCCATCTTTTGTTGTGTTACATTTTTATTGGCATACTTGTATAAAAAACACTTTAATTATTTGACAGTAATATTTCAATTTAATTTGTATTATGTCATTTAGAGGAGGACTCAGCTATGATCACTGCGTTTGTCCACAGTTGCCTCTTGCAGAAAACAATGGATCCAGACAGCCTGGAGTTGTGTGTGTCTGTTCTGAAATTATGGAGGGTTATTTGTTGTGGAAATGGTATGTACATAATTGAATTACATTTCATTTTCTGTCTTTATCCATGTAGCAATTTGCTCTCACTGGGTTAGCAGGGAATAGACGAAAAAATTAAATGATTGAGATACTAATATAATTCTCTATTATGGCATTGTGTCATTACTGCACAGCTTGTCAATGTGATACTCAAGCTTCTCTTTTGTAAGGCCTTTATTTGTCTTTGGATCCCACAAGCTATGTGGGCTTCAGCAAATAAACTGTTTATGCCAACTGTGATAATTTGTTTAGACAACTAATCACAATGTGTGTACATATATGTGTACTATATAGACAACAAAGCATATTTTCAGTATCAACACATATATAGCAACTTAATTTTTGTGAAAATTGAGTTTATCGACTGGGTTGTTGTTCTTTGGGAATGCAACAGGGTACTGTGCCCAGTGAACTCTTTGTATTTAACCAGTTTTTCTTTTACTTTTAGATGAAAACCAAAAGATGTTGATGACATGCCCAATCAGCAGGCAGTCCATCGTTCACTTGGTAACATCAGAGCATGTTGCAGTACAGAAAGAATGCCTGGCATTACTATGTTTGTACTCACAGACGCCACATGGCAGATGTTTGGCCACTGACAACTTGAATGTGCACATGTAAGACATTTCTTTATGTTTTCATCACACAACTGGTGACAGCTAGCAACTAGAATATAGACAGAAATCTTAGGCTTACTGTATGTTCTCTTAAGTATAATACTTTTTATCTCCTCCCATTCTGAGTAAGTATCGAAATGGTTTTGCAGACCTTTCACACTGTTCCCCTTAAAGGTGCAATATGTAACAATTACAGTTCAACTATAATTATCAAAAGAATGTGAAGACTTTACAGTTTTGACGTTATGTCAAAGATGTCCATATATTGTGCTGCAGAGATATCTACTCAAGTTTGCATGCTAACCAGCTAGCCTCTGCCTGCCCCTTCTTGTAATAGTACTTTTTACCTCAAGAGGCCATAGTAAGTCACTGTAGGGTCCAGTCTGCCCTCTGTCTGGGTTTATCTTCTTGCACCCCGGGGCTGTCCCCACTGTAACTGTTGCTCTGGGACATACTTCAAAAATGACATTGAATGGCCCAAGTGATTATTTATTATGTGTATATCTGATATTATCTCAACTGGAGCTGATTGGATTTTCTGAAAAAAGTATTTCTCCAGTTATCCATTATGCCAAACTTACTGGTCTGAAGGTAGACACCATCATTTTCTGGGTACAAAATATTCACTGATATCTTGATGATATTCATTAAGAAGCAAAATCGTTGCTTCTCTTTTGTTTGTATTCCTCTCACTATTTCCCTGCTATTCCCTTCTCTCTTTCTTTATCCTGCTCTACTCTTAATCTGGACCTAAAGGTTAGTGAGGAACCTCATGGCGTGCCTCACAAATCCGCAGCAGCAGCAGGAGTACACAGCGGTCAACATTCTGGAGAAGTTTGCAGCCGAAAACAAGTAATATTGACACACAGCGAACAAAAACACATCCTAGAAAATGATTAATGTTATTTCTAGACAAGGACATACAGATTTTAAGATACTCTGCAGAGTTGGTTATGACCCACCAAACTGTATATCACCCTCCCTCACATCATATGCATGTTCCATATATTAAAAGCATTTAAAAATTCCTCGTCACATCATGTCAGGAAGGTTCCCCATGAGAAATGGAAAGTGTGGCATCTTTAATAATTCAACATGTGCTATCCAAGTGTTAATGTCACTTAAAGGCAAAAGGCTGTTCTCAACCTGTTTCCCTCTCTGATGCCTCATGAAAATAGACATGAAAGCACAACCCCGGCTCTCGAACACAGCTGGAAATAAGTCGAGGTGTCAAGCAGTGAAATGGAGAGATCAATTTTCTTTGTCTATAGCTCAAAGAGAGTTGCTAAACAAAAATGTGTTATATCCTACAGAGGGTTTCTCTTCATTGTCGAAGCTCAGCTGGTCAATGTTGGGCTTTTGTGAATGTTTGTTTTGGAAGTAAAAATTAATACACAACCAGTCCAAATTGATTCCACATATTACAAATCTCTCCTAGTAAAACATTTATAGAATGTATATGCATTTGCACATTTGCATTTATGTATATTACACTATGTTGTAAAATTAAATTGCGATGCCAATTATAAATTTTACGCACTCCATCTCGTCTACTAATTTGGAAGGTTGTTGGTTCGATCCCCTGCTCCTCCCGCC